ACCTTAGCATGTTTTCGGACAGGAAACCTGGATGGCACAGGGAGAACATGCAAAGTCCACAAACATACAGCCAGGATGGGGAATTAAACCCTTGCTTATCAGAGCTGCCTGTAGCGTCTGACAGTCAAAGAGTCCAAAGTTCTCTTTGCATGCGGCTCTTATTAACTATACTATCTAAATAGCTGAAACATACATTAGTTTACACCAGGATTCTCCTACCTTTTTGACATTGAAAGCTACTTTTACAAAAGTAGGGGTGCAGGAGGGCAAAGGAGCAACGATATCAGCTGCGGGGGGCGGGGGGGCGGCAACAGTACAAGTTACTGACTGGAAGGGGGTGTAATTGGCGACGCCTATAGTTGGTGGGCAGGGAAGATGAGAAATTGCATGCGTGTAAAATGCCAAGTTCTGAATGAAGAGCGATTGGGCAGAAACTCAAGGCAAATCTGTAACTCTTTTGGGTCTTAACCACATCTGAGTGATTAAATATGGCCATTCTGATTTCAGTTTTGGTATCACCCAGCAAAGGAACTCCTCTTTTGAGATGAAATGTTCCGTGTTCCTATTTAAGGGGTTGATGTATTCCAATCTGCTCTCAGCACGGAGCGCACCACAGCGTTCCGGCCTTATCATCCTCTGCGTCTGACACCACTGCTCGCTAGGAAATGCGTTATCCTCACCACTGTGGCTGAAAAATCACACATAGGTATTTGCCACATCCACTTGGGTGTCGCCAATAGACCTGTGAATTGTAAACTCCAAATAAGGTCATGGGGGAGGGATGACCCCCGCCTGACTGCCCTGGACCCTCGTTCCCTCCATCATATTGCTTCTCAAATAACGTAACATGCTGGATCTTGTATATTATCTTGTCTACTTGGACAACGTAAAAGAAAAATACATACAGACCACAAAAACTCCCTGTATTTGTTCCCTGTGAAGAACATAAACTGTGAGGAATTCGGTGGAGAGAAAGAATATGAAACCTGGGGAACGTAAACTATTATAGACTGAATTTTGGTACGAACTGCCTCATTGAAACAGGCAAGAAACTGGGAAAATGATTTGCAGATGCGGCAGTTCAGGACACAAATGATTAAATGAGATGTGCATGGTTATAAGATAAGAATCTAAAAATATGGCAATAAAATGCAAGCTTTACTTTTGATTTCCTGTGTCTTCTTTTGGTCTAGGGTCTGTGCAAAAAGCCCCTCCCACCGCAGTTGTGGAATTAAGCTACGATGACACGGTGACGAAACCACGTTCCGCGGATGCAAAGAGGACCCTTTTCCTTATGATGCAATGACAGAGGCTGAGGCCTTGGCCAAGGGAACTCTGGCGGTAAACCTGAGAATCTACCTTTCCCCGGCGATGATACAGGGGCTGGGAGGGCCTTCACCTTGGCGGCCCCCACCCACTATTTCCTGTGCGTCGCCATCCGGCATGCGGCGGGCGAGGGGTTTTCTACGGCTCTACCACGGCAAGTCATCCAGGCCTGGTCTATGAGTCTGCAGAAAAACACAGAAGGGAACAAGGGCCCCAGCTTTCTGTTTGACTCTCCAATTTCGCTCATGGGACAGAAAGCGCCGAAGTAGCGGGGAAGGCACCACCATGACTTTCCCCTCCAAAAAATGCCAGTGTACCCCAAAAAGCCACAGTATCAACCGGAGATGCACACCGTGAAATATAACAATTCAGAATTATATCAAAGTTACTTCAGTTAGTCACGATGCATAAAAATGAGTCACCGATTGCAGTCCTTTAGCCCACCAGAAAGGTCTGATTAGTAAATACAATTTGATGGCATGAGGCAAATGACACGTGACAACCAATTCACACAGACGACTGCTTGCGTAAAACTTTCCTACTTCCATAGTAGCTATATTTTTAATAATATTTGCTTGCATGCAACAGCTATAATTATAAACTTTAGACTTCTCCTGTCAGTTTTAAGACTTGTCCCAAGAATTCCTCCTATTTGCTTTAGGATATCATCTGTCATAGCCTGTTCTATAATTTCCCAGGATTCCCAGATTTGTTACACACTTTTAAGTTACTCCATAATGTGTATTTCCTCTCTCCCTCCCTTTTATCTGATTTTCAGTTAGCTTTTTTTCTTTCGGATATCTGTTCACCCATATGTGGTCTATGAACCGGTTTTTAATACACTGTTCAAAAAAATTAAAGAGACATTTTTAAAACACATCAGATCTCAATGGGAAAAAATTCATGCTGGATATCTATACTGGTATAGACTGCGTGATATGTTGAAAGGATGCCACATTGTTTGATGGAAATGAAAATCATCAACCTACAGAGGGCTGAATTCAAAGACACACTGAAGATCAAAGTGAAAAAATTATGTAGCAGGATAGTCCATTTGCTCAAATTTCATTGCAGCAACTCAAAATCGTACTCAGTAGTTTGTATGGCCCCCACGTGCTTGTATGCATGCCCCAAAGTTCTCATGAGACAACGGATGGCGTCCTGGGGGATCTCCTCCCAGATCTGGACCAAGGCATCACTGAGCTCCTGGACAGTCTGAGGTGCATCCTCCAGGAACTGCCTGCATACTCTCGCCACATGAGGTCGGCATTGTCGTGCACCAGGAGGAACCCAGGACCCACCTGCACCAGCGTAGGGTCTGACAATGGGTCCAAGGATTTCATCCCCATACTTAATGGCAGTCAAGGTGTCGTTGTCTAGCCTGTAGGGGTCTGTGTGTCCCTCCATGGATATGCCTCCCCAGACCATCACTGACCCCCCACCAAACTGATCATGCTGAACGATGTTACAGGCAGCATAATGTTCTCCGCAGCTTCTCCAGACCCTTTCACGTCTGTCACATGTGCTCAGGGTGAACCTGCTCTCATCTGTGAAAAGCACAGGACACCAGTGGAGGATGTCAGGCCCTCAGGCCACCCTCATGAAGTCTGTTTCTGATTGTTTGGTCAGAGACATTCACACCAGTGGCCTACTGGAGGTCATTTTGTAGGGCTCTGGCAGTGCTCATCCTGTTCCTCCTTACACAAAGGAGCAGATACTGGTCCTGCTGATGGGTTAAGGACCTTCTACACCCCTGTCCAGGTCTCCTAGAGAAGCTGCCTGTCTCCTGGAATCACCTCCATGCCCTTGAGACTGTGCTGGGAGACACAGCAAACCTTCTGGCAATTGGCATGTATTGATGTGCCATCCTGGAGGAGTTGAACTGTGCTGTGCAACCTCTGTAAGGTCCAGGTATCACCTCATGCTACCAGTAGTGACACTGACTGTAGCCAAATGCAAAACTAGTGAAAAAACAGCCAGAATTGATGAGGAAGGGAAAATGTCAGT